GGATGAAAGCAACTACGTTTTGGATGATGAATATGCCCTTATGAAGGCTTAAGATGTGGCATTTCTAGATGTGGAAGAGCAAGAGAGAATAACAAAAGTAGGGCAGTTGATAACTTGGCTAAATGGTTAAGGGGGAAGGCATCTATTACGGGACACGACTTAGAGGAGAGGTTAGGAAAAGGTGGAATAACTCTTCAGAGAGGTTCAAGATGTGCCTAGTATGTTTGTGCATTTGATTCTAATGTCATCTGACTCAACAAAGCCGTTATATGGATTGGGTGAAGTTTGCAAGCAACATGGACTTCTTTAATGCTTATCTTAGGGACGGGTATCATTTCAGCTAACCATGGACTCCTTGCAAGGAAAAGATATGGCGTTAAACATCGCCAATCTGTCGAGAAGAATAGACTGAGCACGTACAATTTGTTTGCTTCCCATGGGCATGCAGTAATATTAATGCTTTTTGTTATATTTTTTGTATTATATGTGTTTTAATTATGATATGGACTGTTTTTTTACAATGCAGGCTTGGATGTATGAGGTCATCCCTATCCTGGATAAGGCGGGGGAGGAAGAAGACTTCGGATGAGTGACTGCATTTCCTAGATGTTGCAGTGGCACATCGAGAAGTGTATGTATTGGGATTACGACAAATAACATGGAAATTCAAACGCTTAGGTAAATTTAAGGATTAATCTTTTGAATATTCACTTGTTTTTAAATGTGGCTTAAATTTGATTGATTTTTTTTCTTATTGTAGGGAGTCGTCTGTCCCTTCCCACCACTACTAGGTGGAGTGAAGAGGAGTATATTACATCGTTCAAAGCACTGGAGGATGTAGCAGGTGAAGGGAAGACCGCCTAATGCAGGACCTAGAAGAGGTCACGCATGTGAGTGCAGTTGTAAGGCCACTGCTTGAGAATTTGTTGACGCCGAGGATATGAAGCTCCAATCGGCAGGAGGGAGGGGAGGAGAGGAGGATGAAGAGGTTCGTACGCCTTCACCAAATTGGCAAACCGGTACAAAGTACCGCATTGCCGAGGCGTCGGGGTTGGGAGATGAGGCGATTGACCTCATAAACGGTTTGTTTGAGAGTTTTACAACATCGGTTTATAGAGGTTTGAGAAATGGAAGAACGGATGAAAGGTGAGGAAAAAGTTGATAGGGTGGCGGAGAAAGTGGTAGGTAAGAGGAGGAGTTGGTGGGGTTTGAAAGTGGTTGAAGTGCAACCTGAGCATAAAGAGAGAGCCAAAAGTAGCATGTAATTTCTCCTTACACGGTAGTACGTATGGAAAGAAGAGGAAAACAAAGAAAAAAAAATGAGTAAGTTCGTGAAAGTGGAGAAGCAAAAATGGAGAAGGGTAAGGAGGAGTGGGGAAGTGAAATTGAGGGTGAGGGGACGCAAAGGATGTGAGTAAAATTAGGAGGAAGGCGGAAGTAGGCAAGTGAAAACGGAGGAGTTAAGATCGTTGTATAGGCCAATAGATAGGAAAAGAAAAAACTCTTCTATGCCTATTACAATAATTCTGGAGGTGATGGGCTGTGAAGTGCAAGACCAGGGATTATCCCCAAGAGTGGTTTGAGAAGATGTTGACAATAGGCAGTGGCTCAATAACTCGATGATTATTTTCCCTTATTTTTGCTTATGTTTCCATGAGGTATTGTATATTTATCATGTTATTTTTATTTGATGCAGCACATCGATAAGGTATTGGCACTTACAGGCTACATAGAGTAGTAATGCTGATATTTGTATCCACTGTGCCATCACCGATGGGTTTTGGCCAAACCTAGAACTACATATGCACTTTAATGAAAAAGGTCAATGGTAGAGGTGCCAAGGGAGGCAAGCGGAAAAGATTGGCCACATATGACTTGACGGTGTCCTTGATGATTTTCAGTTTGATGACAAGATAATGCAGTATGTACAGGGGAAAGGCCCAAACATGGCAACAGTTGGGCAATGTTAAAAGAGTATACTGTTTCATGAACATCAAGGATATGCATGTGATAACTGTCGTCGCGCTACTAAGAAGGCTTGCTGCAAATCCTTGACTGCAACCCAAGTATTTGACGAGAAAGGCAGTTGAGATGGAGTTGCAGCCGCTCCCGAGGTTGTTGTGTGACATCGGGATGTTTTAGCACTTGGTGATGAACTACTGACGGGAAAGTGGCCATTCAAGTGCCTTCTCGTCCCGACAAATGACTTAAGGTAAATTTTGTATAAAACTTACATAATACAATTATTCTATAAGCTGATTCGAATGCTAATGTCTTCTCCTTTGTAGTACGATTGTGGCATAGGCACTAAAGTTTATTGGTTTGACATACCAATACCCCGATGGACAACTTGAATGACGAAACAATGAGCAACTGTCGTGAGCGCTGGGCTGTTGAGTTCTTCCATGGCATATGGATCCCTTTGACGGACCAGACCCAATCCAAGTCATCGTTGATGCTGTCATCAAAAGGTATGAATATTGGACTTAGAATTTAGTAGTTTAGGTGATCCTGTCTTATTGGTTGTCTTGAATTGGATCAGCTGGTGTTGTTAGCTTCGGGCTGTTGATACGGGTTGTGGTGTTATGTATGCTTTGTGCCAAGGCCAAGGTTGGATAATGTTAGAAGGGGTGCTGTAGAAGAAGACGAGAGGCTGTTGCTCTGCTGTGCTGATGCTGGATAATTTTGAAGGATGGCGAAGTGGCTGAAGAGAATGATGAAAAGGGAGGTGGAGGCTATCGGCCCTGCTTTTGTTTTGGGTGTATATAGGACATTTATTGTTGTATATAATGTTGTAATTTAATGTAATTGACACATTTCATATTTGTACAAAGCAATTCAGTATTTCTTTCCCTCTTTTGAGTTTGAGTTTATTTAGTATTCTTGTTACATGGCATTGATGTATTGATGCAATTAGGTTGTCAAATTCAGGAGAAAATATGGAATTAATATGTGTTGGTGATTTTAGTTTGTCAAAATTCGAGAGAAAAGCTGGAAAAAATATGTATTGCCCATGATCGATTAAACGATATATAGGGACTACATATATCGCTTAAGCAACCAAGGGTTTTCTATACAGGATTGCTTAAACGAGAAAATAAATTACTTAAGCGATCGTGCATCTAAGAGCATCTAGATTCTGCTATGGACATGATCGCTTAAGCACCAAGGGTAAAGTGAAGAATCGTTTAAGCGAGACCAAATTGCTTAAGCAATCATGCATTTGGGCAGATCTTGATTTTGCCTTGGACTGATCGCTTAAGCGATCTCAAATTGCTTAAGCACCAAGGGTAAAAGTGAAAAATCGCTTAAGCGAGACAATAAATCCTTAAGCAATCTTGCATCTAGGCAGATCTTGGTTCTACCTTGGACTTGATCACTAAGCGACCAAGGGTAAAAGTGAAGAATCGCTTACGTGATCTGCATCTAGGCAGATCTTCATTCTGCCTTGACTTGATCGCTTAAGCGGTCCCAAATCGCTTAAGCAACCAAGGGTAAAAGTAAGAATCGCTTAAGCGATCGTGCATCTGGGTAGATCTTGATTCTGCCTTGTACTTGATCGCTTAACAATCCCAAATCGCTTAAGCGACCAAGAGTAAAAGTAAGAATCGTTAAGTGAGACCATAAATTGCTTAAGCTTCGTGCATCTAGGTAAATATGATTCTGCCTGTACTTGATCATTTAAGCGATCCCAAATCACTTAAGTGACCAATGGAAAAGCGAAGAATCGCTTAAGCGACCATAAATCGTTAAGCGATCGTGCATCTGGGCATATCTTGATTCTGCCTTGCACGTGATCACTAAGCGACCGAGGGTAAAAGTGAAGTATCGCTTAAGTGATCTTGATTCGCCTTGGACATGATCGCTTATGATCATTGTCACTTAAGCGACCAAGGGTAAAGTGAAGCATCACTTAAGTGATCTTCATTCTAGCTTGTACGTGATCACTTAAGCACTGTAATAGATCGCTTAAGCGACTAAGGTTAAATATACATGATCGTTTAAGTGAGACATGAAGTCTCTTAAGCGATCCGTGTATTCGGATTATTTTTATTATGCCTTTCACAAGATCGCTTAAGCGATTTGCATTATCGCTTAGCAATGAAACTTATAACACTGGATGTTAAGCGATGATAAAATTGCTTAAGCGACTCCTTTTTTTTTGGAGTAGGTTGTTAACCCCATATTAAGGGACGTTAAGGTGAACTTCGGATGTCCCCACATCACATGATTATTAACGTTAATGTTAAGCGACATCGGTTATTACCACTATTAAGGCCATTAAGAGGATTGGTTGCAACCAAATTCCATCAACACATAAGGTTACAACCGTATGATATATGGAGGAATGAAAGAGAGGGAGATAAGGGACAGAAATATGGAGAGATAGAAATAGAAGAAATTAGAGGGGAAAAGGTAGAAAAGGAAGAAGAATAAGATAACCAAGAGAGTACTCAATTTTCTTCACATCAATAAATGTAATCTGCCTCAAAAAAGGAGAATAAATTAACCTTTACTAACCCAAACAAGAAGTAATGAAAATTCAAAATAAAAACAACTCGTATTAAACAATTCCTAAATCTTATAATAACCTTCTGCATCAAAGCAAATTTAAATATCATAAGAAAGGAATATGCATAAAAAGGTTGTCGCTTCTGTTTTAGTCTCATGCAAGGTGAAAAATATAGGAGAGACGCAAGAAGACATTCAATTTGGCTGAAAAGAACAATGCCATAATCATAGAGCTCAGTTAGCAGGGTAGTCAATATAAAATTAGACAGCAGGAAGGATGCCATTAAATAAGCACATTAGAACACCTGAGAATCAGACCAGAAGGCTACTACATTAATAGTTCATATACATACAAAGAACAAAATTCAAGAGCTCATTGACTTTTTAGTCAGTGGCTTGATAGGTTAGATAAAACTAACATTTGAAGAAACTTATATCTTCTATTGAAAGGAAAAAACACAATATACGTATATATAATTTCATCACATAGTGGCTCAACAAATTTGCATGACATTCCATCTGAAAACTAAAGGCCTATAGAACATGCCAACTTCAAGAGGATTCTATTAATTAGGCATAATCAGCACAAAAAAGAGCCAAAAGTTATAATAAACAAATAAAAACTAAATCCTTGAAATGTTTTTAATGTGCAAACCTATTCTGCTGAGACTCTTGGAATATACAGAGAGACGCTGTGGTCTAGGAGGGAGTTTCAGAGAATTTGATATCCCACTTCTTATTTGTATACAGTTTTCAAGAGGAGTATTCCATGATGGTTTAGACTCATCAACAGCATCACATATTTTTATCAGCTTCAGATCTTCATTGTGCTGGAGGCATTCTTGATTTTCTTCTTTAATCCAGATAGCTGTCTGTACATTTCGAGCAATTAGTTTCCAGCACATTGCTGTAGTTATGTTTACCAACTTATCCCAAATCAATGGATAATCTTTATCCTTCCTATAAGCAGGTGGAGCCGAATAGACAAAATATCCATTAGGTCGCAGAAGACGGTTGACTTCTTTGAGTAAAATTCCGTCTGTAGTAACCAAAATGTAAAAAAGTTAACAAATTGGTAAACCATGTCAAATGAAGACAAGATTCACCAGAAAACTCCAAAAGGCAGTATCTCAATGAAAAGAAACTACATCTTAGTTCAGGTAGACAAGAGGTTAAATTAAATCAAACAGAAATAGAAAATACAGCATAAAATTTAAATAGAAAGAACAGAGTAAATTAAGAACTTACAACATTCTAATCCCTCTGAATAAAGAAAAAAGCCATTCTCCTAAAATTGTTTTGCAACTGAAGCACACAAACAAGAATGACCATGAATTCTACCCAAAAGCATTGTCACATCATCTTCTATGTAATCATAAAAAATATTCTAATTCCACTTACACCTAATAGCCCACAAAGCAGCCAACATACAGAATCTTCATAACACCAGAGCTTTCCCTTCAAATGCAATGTGATGTTCAATAAATTTTGCTAAACAACATAACTGAATTACGAGGAGAAATAGTGTCCCTGAAATTAATGTCTTGAAAACTATCAGGAAGAAGAGCCCTATGTTGATAAAATAGATCAACCAGAGTCCTCCTAAAAAGTGGAAGACCTAATAGGTCAAATACCTATTGCATAAGTCACTAGAACAGAGGGCCCAATTAGTGCCCTTTCAAACATTGAGTGGCTACTAGTGATAGAATGGTTACACAGAAGTGGTTTTCAAATGTTCCAATCTGTGAGCCAGAGGATTATACTCTGGAAGCAGAGGCACTGAATTGATTCAAAAGCAGAGTTGAATTGTATTTCAGAAGGAGTAATACCTTCAAAATACTTTTCAAACACAACTCAAGTTTTAAACACAGCTCAAGTTTTAAACACAGCAGATGCTAGTAGACTCATGCTCGATTGACAACCTCACGAAAACAAGTCCGTTTCACAAAATATTACTCTACAGCCACTAATAGTTTACTATTAAATAAACATTTCTTTCTAGCTATTAAGTATCATCAATGATGGACGAAAATCAGCAAAAGATTACTCAGATGTAAATTAACCAAATATTTTACATGGAAAAATTAAAATCCTAAAGAGCTAATATAAATATACAAGGTGGAATAGCAACATACCATTTGCATGCCAATCAACACGACATCTTGAACAGTGAACCATCTCAAAAGAGCTAGCAGGGTAAGGTAGCTGTTTAGTTGCTATGGCAGCAATCATTGCACCAATACCTCTCTCCAAAGCAAACTGAATTTGATTTTCATGGCCATCTTTGGGAGCAAAGGACATTGTTTGTATATCCAAGGAAAGAAGAAAAGCAGAGAAGCTGGCAACTCCACAACCAACGTCAAGAACTTGAAATACCCCTATCGAACGCAGATCACCCGTTTCACCAGTTGTCATATTTCCTAACCTGAGTGACCAAAAAAAAATTGATAGTAAAGTAAAATTAATTACTGCAAACAGCAAGATCATATATATATTAATAATCCTCAATCAGATAATTCTTTCCATGTTGCTGCACTTTATTGGGGAAAAAATTGTATATACGAAGACCAAAAGTACCATAAAACCTGATAACTGAAACCTTTTTCCTCACATTAAAATTCAATAAGCTTGTGCCAATAGTTATGTTGCATTAGCTTGATAAGCAGCCTATAAAGCTCAAGCAACTGACATGTCATCCAATACTTGATGAGTTAACACAATGAAAAGAAAGTGAACAACAGCAAATCAAGTCATAGTTACCTTTGAATGTACTCAGGTGCCCCACGCTTGAAATGAGTACCACCACCTGGGAACCACCATAATTGGTTTTTCTCATGCACCCAATTTTGTCCCCCTTTAACTTCAGCAAGACGTGTATGATTCACATTACTTCGCCACACGTAATCCCTGCTAGTTGGCCATCTTAATGGAATTTTATAATCTTTGGGTGGTGGCACCAAGCAGAACAGACGCCTTTCAGGTGGGGGGCAGTGTCTCTCTAGTTCTTCTCTTCTGGAAAGATTCAAGCTAGGAAGCAATTTATTCACGTAAGAAGGATCATGGCAAGGGATATACTCGTTGAACATTAAAGGACATACATTCATTCCACGTTCTGGGATCACAAGTGGTGTTTTCTGGTACGCCAGAGCAACTTTGTTTGTAAAGGTGGTAGTACCTTTAACTGTAAAAGACAGATCTATATCACTCACAAGAATTATTTTCAAAGGCTAAGATAAAATAAGCCTGAGCTTTAGTTGCCAATTTCCTTAAGGTTCACAATTTCATCATATATTATTATGAAAGCTGTGACTACTTTCTGAGTTCGAAGAATAATACTTCTTAGCTTTGTTGAAAGTCTGCCATATGAACGGAAGCGTAAGAGATTAATCCAGAATATCAAGAGTTGAAAACTAAATCTAAAGTATAATTCAATATCTAGTCTCTGACATTTTGCTGGAAGAATTACGATTTAAAGACAAAAAAATCATCAGCCCACATTGGGATCGGTAACCTATTATACTTGAATCAATTTGCACAAATTCAAACTACATCACACCCTCTAACTAGATTTAAAAACCACTATATAATTCAAAATAAGATAAAAACAAAAAGCTAATTCATCCCATCCGAAAGTCCTGCCAATTAAATTAAGCAAACAAGAACACAATTCCAGAAAACCAGAAAATAAGACTCCATCAACCAACAGAGAAACAAGTTCTAACAACATGAGTTGAAGCGGGGATTAGTGGGTTGAGCTAAATTAAAAAACCCCAAATGAAACCCAGATCTCAGAATCATAGATAAAATGAGGTAATAAGAAAAAGTGAAAGGTTAAGTAAAGATATACCGAGTAATGAAGAAGAGTTGGAGGAGGTTTGAGAAATGTAGATGGGAGCATTTTTACCAAAGATAGTGCCTAGGTAGAATGATCCAACCATTAATAAAAGAGCAACCATTATCATTTGCCCGGACTTCAAATCAAATGCTGAACCCAACGCATATCCTCCCATTTTCTTTCTCTTCTCCTCTCTCGTCACTGGGACTGCAACTGATTTTGAGGAAATTTAACTGTCAGACCTCCCAAGTTTACATTTACAAAAATAGCCCAGAAATATTTTGCAATTTTTTTTTAAGTTAGAAAAACTAACGTGACATACTTAGGATTCATTAAACAAGTAAAACGGGTTAAACTAAAAAGATTTAAACATATATGAGTAATATTATAATTAATGAAAGTTTGCTTAAATTTTGAAAATTAAAAACGACCCCCACCCTTCAAAACCGCTTAATTGTGCCATATATAAAAAAAATGACCAATGAACACCTTTGATTTCTCTGCGATTTCTGGTGATAAAAGTGCCATATTTTTGGCAAATATTCGATCCTAAAGCTTCATTACACAAAATTATGATTGATATTCACAAAGAGGAGGAAAACCCAACCCTACTCTAAATCCTAGACTCCGGCGACGGCGGCTGTTCAAAGCCTGTCGAAGAAGACGCTCCGGTAGATTATCCGATGAGTCAAGGTGGTCCAGAGGCAGAGGAGACAACGATGGCACAAGAACAGAGAGAAAAAACATAAAATGGTTTTTAAGAGGAGGACGTTAGAATTCAAGCGAGGAGGAGGACGCCGGTGAAGAAATGGTATATTTTTTACTTGTGGTTTTGAATTTGATGAGAAATTTGATTGATTTGTGCAAATTTGGGGGATAATTTGTTGGTTATATTGTTACGATGGTTGTGGCGTTTTGTTGAGCAGTTGACAAACATCGGGGGAGTGGCTTTGTTTGGGTTCCAGAGGATGGGGGAAGGCAGGGGAGGTCATAGGGAGGTTGTTTATGGGAGGTTGGAGGGCTGGGGATGGCAGGAGGTGGCAGAATAGGGGGGTTGGAGGGCTACCCTGCAATAGCTGTGCGTGGCCAACCCTACAATATGCAGGGCAGCCTTCCAGTCCCACTATTCCGCCACCTCCAACCATCCTCAGCCTTCCAATCTTATGGAACTTGCCACAACAACCTCTATAGGGCTTGCATTGGTTTCCCTTGTCCTTTTGAGGCCAAAAACACCCATTCCTCGATGCCCTCGAAGCCCATTTCCCCTAACTTGGCAACCTATTGGTTGTTTTGGTTTCTTTTTTTTTTTTGCTGATATTTAATTTATATCGATTATGCAGATTTTTCGAAGTGTAAATGATAAAGACTATGGGTTGGAGATTGTAAGCGATAAGGTATCTTACTTCCCCGTAAGGGTGACAATTAGGTTAAGTTGACAAGTTTTTACGAGAATAATGGAGATTTTAGAGGAACAAAAGAAGGGTAAGGACCGATTCAAAGAGAGTTGTTTTGGTCATTTTGTGAACATTGGAAAAAATTGGAAAAAGGCGTTCTGGGGGCAGGGAGTGCATTATACGTTGTTAAAAAAAAGAAAAAAAAAAAAAAAAAATGAAATGTGGTTCATGGTGGATGGGAAGCTACTACGTTTTGGGATGATGGAATATGCCCTTATGACAGGCTTAAGATGTGGGGCATTTCCAGATATGGAAGAGCAAGAGAGAATAAAGAAAAGTAGGGCTGTCAATAACTTGGCTAAATAGGTTTTAAGGGTAAAGGCGTCAATTACGGGACACGACTTAGAGGAGAGGTTAGGAGAAGGTGGGTATAACTCTTCAGAGAGGTTCAAGATATGCCTATTATGGTTCGTGCATTCGATTCTAATGGCATCTGACTCAACAAAAGCCGTTAATATGGATTGGGTGAAGTTTGCAAGCAACATGGACTTCTTTAATGCTTATCTGTGGGGACGGGTATCATTTCAGCTAACCATGGACTCCTTGCAAGGAAAAGATATGGTGTTAAAGCATCGCCAATCTGTCGAGAAGAATAGAGCAAGCACGTACAATTTGTTTGGCTTCCCATGGGCAATGCAGGTAAATATTAATAGCTTTTTGTTATATTTTTTGTATTATATGTGTTTTAATTATGATATGGACTGTTTTTTTACAATGTAGGCTTGGATGTATGAGGCTGTCCCTATCCTTGCTAAGGCGGGGGGAGGAAGAAGACTTCGGATGAGTGACTACAATTTCCAAGGATGTTGCAGTGGTACATCGAGAAGTGTACCTATTGGGATTACGACAAAATAGACATGGAAATTCAAGCAGCTCGGGTAAGATTAAAGGATTAATCTTTTGAATATTCACTTGTTTTTAAATGTAGCTTAAATTTGATTGATTTTTCTTATTTAGGGAGTCATTTGTCCCTTCCTAACCGCTACTAGGGGTGAAGGGAGAAAGGAGTATGTTACATCATTCAAAGCACTAGAGGATGTAGCATATGAAGGGATAGACCGCCTAATGCAGGACCTAGAAGGGGTCACACATGTGAGTGCAGTTGCAGGGTCATTGCTTGAGAATGTTGTTGACACTGAGGATGATGAAGCTCCAATCGGTGGGATAAAGGAGGAGGAGAAAGATGAAGAGCTTCATACGCCTCCACCAAATTGGCAAACCGATACAACAAGTACCGCTTTGCCGAGGCATCGGGGTCTGGAGAATTAGGCGATTGACCTCATAAACGGTTTGTTTGAGAGTTTTACAATAGTCGTTTATGAGAGGTTTGAGAAGATGGAAGAGCGGATGAAAAGGTTGGAGGAGAAAGTTGATAGGGTGGCAGAGAAAGTTGGTAGGGTGAAGAAGGAAGTTGGTGGGGTATTGAAAGTGGTTGAAGTGCAACCTGAGCATAAAAGAGAGAGCTGAAAGAGTAAGCATGTAATTTCTCCTTACACGGCAGTAACGTATGGAAAGAAAAGGAAAACGAAGAAAAAAAAATGAGGAAGTCCGTGAAAGTGGAGAAGTAAAAATGGAGGAGGGTAAGGAGGAAGGCGGAGGAAGTGGGGAAGTGAAAATGGAGGAGGGTGAGACGGGATGCAAAAGAAGTGTGGAAGTAAAAATGGAGGAGGAAGGCGGAGGAAGTGGGCAAGTGAAAACAGAGGAGTTAAAGGTCGATTTGTATAGGCCAATAGATGAGGAAAAGAAAAAGCTATTCTATGCCTATTACAATGATTCTAGAAGTGATGGGCATGTGAAGTGTAAGACCGGGGATTATCCCCGAGAGTGGTTTAAGAAGATGTTGACAATAGGCAGGTGGCTCAATGACTCGATGAGTTATTTTCTCTTATTTTCCCTTATTTTTGCTTATGTTTTCCATGAGGTATTGTATACTTATCATGTTGTTTTTATTTGATGCAGCACATCGATGAGGTATTGGCACTTACGAGGCTACGATAGAGTAGTAATGGTGATATTTTGTATCTGCACTGTGCCATCACTGATGTAGGCTTTGGCCAAACACTAGTAACTACATATGACACTTTAATGAAAAAGGCCAATGGTAGAGGTGCAACAAGAGGAGGCAAGCGGAAAAGATTGACCACATATAACTTCGATGGTGTCCCTGATGATTTTCAGTTTGATGACAGGATGATGTAGTATGTACAGGGGGAAAGGCCCAAACATGACAACAGTTGGGTAAACGTTAAAAGAGTATACTACTTCATGAACATCAAGGATATGCATTGGATAACCATCATCGTGCTACTAGAAGAGGGCTTGCTATAGATCCTTGACTACAACCCAAGTATTTGTCGAGAGAGGCAGTTGGAGATGGGGTTACAGCCGCTCCCGCGGTTGTTGTGTGATAGCGGGATGTTTTATCACTTGGGTGATGAACTACTAACGAGAAAGTGGCCACTCAAGCGCCCTCCCGTCCTGACAAATGACTCTAGGTAAATTTTGTATAAAACTTACATAATACAATTATTCTATAAGCTGATTCTAATGCTAATGTCTTCCTCCTATTGTAATGCTGATTGCGGGGCATATGCACTAAAATTTATTGAGTTTGACATGACCAACACCCCGATGGACAGCTTGAATGATGAAACAATGAGCAACTGTCGGGAGCGCTGGGCTGTTGAGTTCTTCCATGGGCATATGGATCCCTTTTGACGGACCTGAACCCAATCCAAGTCATTGTTGATGTTGTCATCAAAAGGTATGAATGTTGGATTTAGAATTTTGTAGTTTATGTGATCCTGTCTTGTTGGGTTGTTCTGAATAATTGGATTGTCTTGAATTGGATCAGCTGGTGTTGTTAGGCTTTAGGCTGTTGATACTTGGGTTGTGGTGTTATGTATGCTTTGTGGCAAGGCCAAGGCTGGATAATGTTGGAAGGGGTGCTGTAGAAGAAGACGAAGAGGTTGTTGTTGCTGCTGCTGTTGATGCTGAAGGTGTGCTGGACAATTTTGGAGGATGGCAAAATGGCTGAAGAGAATGATGAAGAGGGAGGATGGAGGCTGTCGGCCCTGATTTTGTTTTGGGTGTATAGAGGACATTTATTTGTTGTATATAATGTTGTAATTTAATGTAATTGACACATTTCGGATTTGTACAAAAGCAATTCAGTATTCTTTCCCTCTTTTGAGTTTGAGTTTATTTAATATTCTTGTTACATGGCATTGATGTGTTGATGCAATTAGGTTGTCAAATTCAGGAGAAAATATGGAATTAATATGTGTTGGTGATTTTAGTTTGTTAAAATTCAAGAGAAAAGTTGGAAAAAATATGTATTGCCCATGATTGCTTAAGCGATATACAAACGACTACATATATCGCTTAAGCAACCAAGAGTTTTCTATACAGGATCGCTTAAGCGAGAAAATAAATCGCTTAAGCGATTATGCATCTGGGAGCATCTATATTCTACTATGGACATGATCGCTTAAGTGATTCATGATCGCTTAAGCGACCAAGGGTAAAAGTGAAAAATCGCTTAAGCGATTGTGCAACTGGGCAGATCTTGGTTCTGCCTTGGATTTGATCGCTTAAGCGACCAAGGGTAAAAGTAAAGAATCACTTAAGCGATCGTGCATCTGGGCAAATCTTCATTATGCCTTGGACTTGATCGCTTAAGCGATCCCAAATCGCTTAAGCGATCGTGCATCTAGACAGA